ACGGCTCATAACCATGTTGTGGTGACCTTTTGTCCATACCACTGCAATCCTGCAACTCCGTTTCCAGAAAAGATCCATCCGAGGCAGTCATATGCCTATGATAGTCAGAAAGCGCTTCCCGTGTGCCAATGCTGAGCGTGTGCGCGTCCATCCGCCGCACAGACTTCGATCTTCCGAGCTTGTTTGCCAGTGTTAGTATCACCCCGCTCCCTTTGCAATATCATGGCGGCCCGGAACCTTAAGCAGGCTCGCTCCCAGCTTGAGCCAATGGCTCATGACGAGCTCAAGTCGATGGTCAGCGGCTGTGTTGCGAACGGTCAGCTGGAGGTGCTTCTGGCGGAGATCGATGCCCAGCGCCCCGACAAGATGGTGAGGCGCAACGGCCCTGGCTCCGACAGTGGCTTGTCTGACTATGCGGTGGTGAACAGCCCACCAAGTCCGGCGGTTGAGGCCAGGAGTGCCCCCTCAGGACCTCGTAATGGGCCTCCCGTGCCGTGTCCAGTGAATCAGCCGATCCGCAATGGTCCTCCGGTGCCATGTCCAGTGAATCACCCGGCCTACGCCGATGGAGATCGTCGCCGTGCCCCTGCGGCCCCGAGCTCTCCGGCATCTTCCCTGCACTTTGACACCAGCTCCGAGACCGAGACGACCAGCTCCTATCAGGTCGAGCACGGCTATGAGGAGGAGTACAAGTTGCCCAGGGTGACTTCCCACAGGCTGCCGCATGGCCTGAGTAGCCTTCAGCAGTGGGGCCGCTCCCTTCTGACGTTGCCCAAGTTCGCGGAGAAGAAATGGTCCTACAAGAAGATTCTCGAAGTGGGCTGGAACGACAAAGATGTGTTGTCGTACCTTCGCTGGATCCGCTCCACCTACTACCAGGATGCCAGCAGGCCCGTACCGGGCAAGGCGAGCGACCTCGCGGCCTTCCTCATCGCCACCGACTACCCGATCATGGCTCGCCTCGGCCAGGTTGGACCCACGAGGGTCTTCGTAGACGAGTGAGCGGCCCCGGAATACAGGGCGCCGGCTGTCCGGATTGATCTTCCTATGGTCATGTGTTTTTCAGAGACTAATTGTAAGATGACGGGCCCTTGTACGGCCTACTCTGGAAAAGTCGCAAGCTGAGCATTGAGGGCGTGTGAAACCGCTCTTGCAGAGAGCTGTGAATGCCCGGCTTGCTCTGGGGCTCAAGGGCCCTTGGAACTCCTGTTAGAAGGGATCCGTATGGAAACGGTGTGAGTGCTGGAAAAGGCGCTTCTGTTTGACGGTGAACCACCTTCGGTTTTACAATATGTATAACTAAATATGGAAGCCCCAAAGCAATATAGGTAACCTACTTGGCATGGGTACTTATAAGTGGACTGAAAAGTCTCCTAACATAGGTTATAGCTATAGCTACCCTACATATAACCTTACTTATAACTTCCCATGAACCTCCAAGTAGACCCTAAACCCTAAACCCCTTAAGGAACCCTTAAAAGGAACCCACTAAGGGTTACATAAAACTACCCATGAACCTCCCAGTATATTAGATCACATAGGTCACCACGGGACGGAGTTTTGCGCTCCCCGGAGCTTCCGCGTTTCAGACCGACACCCCAAAAGGGAAGATCAGAGCCTAAACCCGAAACCCTCCCAGTGTACGCAGAGAACCCAATACCCCTAAATTAAGGAATAAACCTTGAATCATATAACAAATCAGGCCCCTATGCTTCAAGGTATATTCCTTAATTAAGGGATATTGGGTTCTTTGGGTAGGAGCCTTAGTAATTGGAGTAGGGTTTTGGGGGCCCCTCTTATAATTATAGTATCATATATCCGAAGTCCTATTCTAGTTATTAAGGCCTCTATACTAAACCCGAAACCCTAAACTCTGAATCGTAACCCTAAATCCTAACCTCGAAACTCTCATCCCAAAGCCCCTAGATCGCAACAGGACTCTCAAGTTAAAGAATTTAGCTTCAGAGTTGTTTAGGGGCTGGGGGGCAAAGCAGCAGAGGAGATAGTCGCGGCATAAGTAGGGCAACAGTCGGGGTGACAACATTCAAAGGCCCACTCTCCACCCTACTAAGTCCCTTGATCCTTCAGAACACCCTAAACGCATGTCCCAGCTGGCCTTTATGGTAAGCCTTATAGAAACCCTTGTAGCCCCTCAAAGAAACACTTACAGTAACCCGAAACGCGAAACCCTCCATCCCAATGGCCCGGTGACCTCATTGGGGAGGATCTGTTTCAGGGAGGCAGCTAGGCTCTTCTCCAGAACCTCGCAGCAAGATGGCAAAGCTTTAGCTTTGGGGACTTCCAGGGCCGTTGAGGATATGGGGCTGTGACAGCGGCTGTGGCGTTGACGCTCTTGCCGTGCAGTTTTGTTTGAGGTTTTGGGATTTTGGACCCTCAACCCTGCAACCCCTATACCCTAAGCACCAAGCCCCTAGACCCCAAACTCTCAGCACTAAACCCTAAACCCGAAGCCCCAAACCCTAAACCCTAAACCTAAAGCCCCAAACCTTAAACCCTAAACCCTGAGCCCCAAACCCTTAAAAACACCAAAACCGGATCAAGGCTTTGCAGATTTCGAGCTTTTGGGGGATGAGTTTTGGGGCATTGGAGTCGAGAGACGTCCAAGTTGGGTATAGGATTTAGGGTTTAAGGTTCGGGGTTTAGGGTTTAGGCTCTGGGTTGTAGTGGTTTTTCGGCCAAGAGACGTCGAAGTTGTGAATTAATTAGAACGAAGGGTTCTTGAATTTGAAGCGGAGGGACGTGTGCGCACTTGTTTTTTGGGGGGGCACAGCCCAAGAAAATCGAGCCTTCAAAGTTCAAGCCCAAAAGATCGAGCCAGCCCAAGACTGATCAAACTGTGCCACTCCAAATCTTCTATGCCTACATGGAGGCTGCAGAGGATTCAGCATGTACAAGCATTACAGTTGTGCATGCGCCCTTTATCCGCAAGAGCAAGCTTACTTGCATTCCCACTTTGCAATCATCCCGGCACTCCAAATCCTTGCACCTGCACCCTGCAAAAACCGTGAAGAATCCCTGGAAAACCCTTCTGAAGCCTTTCTGGAACCCGTAGGAAGCCTCGTTCCTCCTGCTAGAAGTATCAGCAAAAACGGTAACACCGACCTCTAGCGTGTCACTCCTCCCAGGGAATATCCATCCCGGATTGGCCGCCATGACCTGTGGATTCGAAAGGGAATCTTGCCTGCTTGGTGGTTCATGGGTAGTTATAAGTAGGGTTATAAGTAGGGTAACTATAGTTATAACCTATGCTAGGGTACATATAACTCCACTTACAACTACCCCTGAACCTCCAAGTAGTGGATCTCGGCAATGAGGGTCCGACCAGTTCGGGTCATGACTAAGAGCTCAGGGCTTCAGGCTTCGGCTTTGGTGTCCAGGGTTCAAACGTTGGGGCTCGGGGTTTCGGGTTTAGGGTTTAGGGTTTAGGGTTTAAGGTTTAGGGTTCAGGGTTCAGGGTTTAGGGTTTAGGGCTTGGGGTAGGGTCTCCTGACATGAGAAGCCATGTTCAATTACGGTTGGTATTCCTCCCTTCGGGCACATAGGATTAAGCCCCTAAACTCGTAAACCCTACCCAGACCCCAGACAAACTTCAGAGTCTGGCAAATCGAAAACCCTGTAGTGATAGGTCCTACACTAACCTTCACCCAAATCCCCGCAAACTCTGAACCTAACCCGAAACCCTCAGCACGAAACCCTATAACCCCGAAACTCTCAAAACGCCTTCTTGAAGCTTCGGACGGCAGCAAGCACGGGACCGAGAGAGGAGGCGTGCCTTGGAGATTGCCACGGTGTTATATTTGTCTAAGCACTGAAGTCGCTGAGGGGTCGAAAACGGGATTAAGGGCTTTCAGGCTTAAGGGCTGAAGGGTTTAGGGCGTATCAGGGCGCCTCAAGGCCCAGCTGATTGAAATGCCAGCAACCTCACCGTGAACATTCGCTTTCAGGTCTAGGGGTGGAGGGTCTGGGGTGCTTCAGACACCTGTGACCATGTGCATATGACTGGATGAGGGTGGCCTCGTGCTCTGCAAATCTGTTCCGTCTCATGGAACGTCTTTGATCTGTCGTCGTCCATGGCTGACAACTTCAGGAAGATATCTTCGAAGGCAGAATGCTGGGTCCTCTTTACTACTTGGAGGTTCATGGGTAGTTATAAGTGGAGATATAAGTCCCCTGGTGTAAGTTATAACTCTACTTATAACTACCCATGAACCTGCAAGTACCGGCTTGAAAACTCACGGCCCCTTCGAACTTGGATCGCTTCTGTTGGACCTGGTGCTACAAGGAAGCAAAACTACTCCTGCTCCAGGTTCTCAGGGCGTGTAGGCTTTGGGGTTGTGGGTAAGACGGAACCCCTGAAGGATACCATGAAACGGCACCTGAAGCGAATAAGGCGGGTTTCAATACGCGCAGGTGATCAAGGCATCCAAGGCCGACCTGTAGACTCTTGAGAGTTAGAACCGCAAACCGAACCTGTCAGAAACAAGAAGCAACCTCCGAGAAACTGCAGCCCCCTGAATCCTAAACCCTTAACCCTAACCCTGAGTTGTGGCAGCCGATGCTGTGAAGCTGCTGCGCTGAGTGCTCTTCCCAATGCCCTGCATCCAAATCCTCTCAAGCATTCCAGGGGTTTGGGGGTTGTCTTGGAGTTCGGGGTTGGGGCTTAGCCCTAAACCCTAAACCCCAAACCCTAAACCCTAAACCCTAGCAGCTTCAGCCTCCTGATCACCATGGTCTACCGATTTAGGAGTGTACGACTCATGAGATACCACCTCTCCAGGGTGCTCATGCTTCTTCGGGAGAGTGTTACCTCTACAACTCAACAGCCAAGGAGCTTCGCAGATTCGTAACAACCACTCTGTTCCAAGGCAAGCCACGGTTTTATATACAGGATTTTACGAGGTCTGCCGGGGGCTGCACAGAGGGTTTTAAGGCTGGAGGGTAACTGTGATACGCAGAGAGAGGCTAGATACCTCACAGTTGTACTTATACTCCTCTAAGCAGAAACTAAACCCCTGAACCCTAAACCCTAAACCCTCAGCTAAGCAGAAACTGGATTTTGATGCTTGGCACACTGCAGACTGAATCTGGAGCTCTAGGCAGCCAAATACTGGATCCACTGATTTGGGCTTAGGGGTCAGGGTTTCGAGCTGACAGTTTAGGGTTTGATGCTTGAGGAGTAGGATTCAGGGCTGAAGGGGTTTAGGATCGCGATCGGTTCGACGGAGTCCGAAGCTTCGGTGTAGTGCATCTCACCCCAAAACCCAAAAACCCTTAAACGGCGCCAGGAAAATTATGGCTTTGGGCTTCAGTGTTGGGTTCCTCTACATGTTGGGGATCCGACATCCCACTCCTTGGTGTACAAAACCGACCGGAGAGGACCGACGACCTAAAACTAGGAGGGTTTAAAAAGGTTTAGGGCTTGAGCAGCCTATTGACGCCCATCCCTGCGATGGCTGTTCCGTCCGAACCTCCCAGCACTCGATCACGCGGAGGAAATCGAAGAGCTGTGCGCAGAGCTTCAGGTGGTCCCCTTTGCAGATTGACGGATGGCGGGGCTTAATTTCAGGTTTAGGGTGCAATACCATTATTAATCTTATTATCACTAATATAAATATACTATTAATATTATTATTATCATTATTATTATTAGTAGTATTTTAGGGTTTTAGGGTTTGGGGATCTAGGTTGAGGACTTGAAGCCTGTTGAAAGATTTCTGCGAAGGCAAGAACCCCGCGCCCCAAATCCGAAAGTTACGCCACCCTGAACCCTAAAAGCCCTGAACCCAAGACTGGCCTCGAACCCTTATATTAGGGTTTATGGTTTAGGGTTTAGGGTTTAGGGCTGAGGGTTTAGGGTTTAGGGAATACACCCTCATCGAACATGAATAGAAAATTCATAGAACCCGTATGCAGCTTTCAAAGTATCTTCGGCACACAGAACCGACTCTTTAGTCTTCCATCTAAACACATTCTGAACCCCTACTTGGAGGTTCATGGGTAGTTATAAGTAGGGTTATAAGTAGGGTAACTATAGTTATAACCTCTATTAGGGGACTTATAACTCCACTTATAACTACCCATGAACCTCCAAGTAAATAACCTCCTACTTCTTCAGCTGGGTAGTTCTCCATATTTGGGGCCCGTTTAGGATCCTTCTTATAAGGGTGCCGTACTATATTGGGAACCCAAAAAAGGATCCTAATTTGGAGAACTACCCAGCTAGGGTTCAGGGCTTTGGGTTGATGGGTCTGGGGTTTGAGGGTTCAAGCCTTGAGAGCTAAACGGTTCAGGATCTCGTGGTTTAAGCGTTTTGGGCTTAGGGTTTAGGGTTTAGGGTTTAGGCTGTAGGGTTTAGGCTTTAGGGCTTAGGGCTTGGGGTTTAGTGTTTTGAGTTTAGGGCTTGATGGCTTACTGGTTGTGCTGGCTCAGGGTAGCTAGTAAACCCTGAACATGTCACTCCGTCCGGGGACCCTTTGCCCCCTACTTCCTGGAAGTTGAGCAGCCTCAACAGGGAAGCGCCAAGTCCAAAAAGACTTAGAGCAAAGCAACCTTTGAACGATCCCAACTCTGCAGCCTCAAAACAAGCCTTCTACCCCTGTGAACCCTTAGAGCAACCCTGATATTCCCTTTAAAGGATCCCAGAAAGGAACCCATATTGATCCCTGTAAAGGAGACCTTACAGGAACCCTCACAGCGCTAGCCTGTCAGAGGCATCTTCCCGGCCAGCGCAAGCTGCGTTCGCGCCCAAAGGAAGTAGCCTCCAGCCAGCTTTTGTGGAGGCTAGCGGTTTGGGGTGTAGGCCATCACTTGGAGGTTCATGGGTAGTTATAAGTGGAGTTATAAGTCCCCTAATATAGGTTATTACTATAGTTACCCTACTTATACCCCTACTTATAACTGCCCCTGAACCTCCAAGCAAGGACCATAAGGGCTCCATTAAAGCACACTTGCAGGATCCCGGTAAAGTCTACACCCAAACACAGCGTACAGTGGGACATCGTCCCTAGACCCTAGACCCTAAACCCTAAACCCTGAACCCTAAACCCTAAACCCCAGACATCGTCTTTTCACCCCATCCCCTGACTTTAGGGCTTCGGCTTGTGGCTGGAGGATTTGGGGCTTCACACGGGCACCAAAAGCGTTCCGGGGTATCTAAAATATATGATTATTGTCAGCACCCCGAGCGAAGAGTATAGTATACCAATTATGGAAATATTAGAGCCCCTACAGCACGACGACTTCCAGCATCCACTGAGAGGAACCCAAACCCTGTCACTTCTGCCGGGGGAGCCCAGTGCATCGTTCTGCTTGTGGTTGTACCACTTCGTGTCCTGCTCGTTATGGGTTTCAGGGTCGGGTTTAGGGTCCTGAACCCGAAACCCTGAACCCTAAACCCTAAACCGACTTTATGGGTTTCAGGGTCGGGGGCTTATGGGGTTTTGGAGGATATACTTTACAGTCACAAACGTTCAGGTTTAGTGTAGAGTTCGGGAGAAGGGCTGAGGGCTTTGGGTTTAGGGTTTAGGGGTTTAGGGTTTAGGGTTCAGTGTTTGGGGGTGTAGGGTTTAGGGGTTTAGGGTTTAGGGTTTAGGGTTTAGGGTTTAGGGTTTAGGGTTTAGGGTTTAAGCGTTTAGCGTTTAGGGTTTAGGGGTTTAGGGTTTGGGGGTTTAGGGTTTAGGGGTTTAGGGTTTGGGGGTTTAGGGTTTAGGGGTTTACGGACTTCGGGTTTAGTAACACTAAGTATTCCGACCCCCTCCAGTAGGGCTAAGTCACAGCAGGAGGGAGGCAGTGACCCTGAACCCCTATAGCTACGGTGGAAAATTGCGATACCGCGCAAGAAATACTGCTGATGGACAAAATCCTGCAATACCCATTATAAGGAATATACCATAATTCCCATAGTTTAAGATCCTTAAGGTCATGCAGGATTTTGTCCATCAACCGTATGACGAAGCTTGCAATGACTGGCACCAATGTAATCGCCACTACCCCTTGCAAATCTCATCTCAAGGCTGACGGAGTCAACCCTAAACCCTAAACCCTAAACCCTAAACCCCAAACTCCTCCTTTCCGGTCTCACCGATGAAGCGGATGTGCGGCCGGTCCATCCACGTCTGCTCATCACCCTTCACCTTCGTTGACTGGGACTTTGGCAAAAACACAGGAATTGGGATTTGGACTTAGTTTTTGGGGGGCAGGCTTTGTGCGAAGGCTTAAGGCGAGGGGTCCCCGAGATGAGAGTTGCAGGTGTCGGCGCTCACGGCTTCAGACCATGAGAGCATTTAGGGCTTGGGGTTGGCGGTAATGTGGGGGCCGTACAACAAAAAACGGAGTGCGAGCAAAGAGTGCTACAGTTACGGGGAGGCTATGATTCTTGCTGTGCATCCCTGCAGGTGTAACACCCTTAAGACCATTTAGACCCCTCTAGAATCAAATCCTCAAAACTTGAAAGCCCCAAACCCTTGCAAAACCCAGAAAAAGCCCGGGATGGCGAATCCTCCGCAAACCAGACCTGCAATTCACTTCGGCTTCCGGTGTCAACACTTGGGGTCTTTTTACAGGCTTTGGGTTTAGGGTTCCGGGTCGCTGCAGGAGGTTTCAACTGCATGGAAAACTCTACGCCATGTCACGTTCTTGTGGCCGTTGATGACAAGCTCCATCTTATGCCTCGGCCAAGACACAGGCCCGGGTTCAGAGACTCCAGCAACCAACTTTCGCAAAGACCATGTCACTATGTTTGCACAACTACAACCCCTAAACCCTAAACCCTAAACCCCTAAACCCTGAACCCTAAACCCTAAACCCCTAAACCCTGAACCCTAAACTACAAGGCGCTAGAACAGTTTACAAGAGCGTGAGAAGGCTCCCTGATTACAAGGATCCTCCGTGGTCCAACCGAGCGTCGACTGGTAGGTGAGCAGGAAGGTCGCAATGGAATTGAGACACGCCACCTTAGATGTTCGTTACTTTTCTTTTGAAGGGGTGGTACCAAAGTTGAGGGATTGCAGTGTCCAGGTGGAGGGTTGCACTTCAGAGGGGAAAGGCTTTGGGTGAGGTGTTGTCCGAACACTAACCCCTGTGCCCCCAAACTTAAAGCTCCACACAAATTTCAATGTCCCCAGCACTCCGGGTACGGATCCCTGAAAAGGATCATGGTAGTTAGTATACAAAGGTATGATTGTTCATAACCCGAACTATAAAGCAGACTTATAGCCCTACCTACCAAACTACACCCTAAACCCGAAACCCTCAACCCTAAACCCTAAACCCTGAACCCTAAACCGCTGCTGCGCTGGCAGGGAGGAGCCGGCTAGGAAGAGCTTGGGGCCTTAAGAATTAGAATAGGGCTTCAAAGTACATGTTAGGGTTTAGGGTTTAGGGTTTAGGGTTTAGGGTTTAGGGTTTAGGGTTTAGGGTTTAGGGTGGCGCATTTTAGTTCTATCATGATAAGGAACCCTAGGGACGAGTAATTGGTATGTGTTTCCGGCCTCTCTACAGTAATGCTTTGTTTTTGATTTTCGTCTTCAGGGTTGAGAGTTCAGCGATATTCACTTTGAACGCTCTTGCCGGGCACGTGGAGACTCCACTGTTGTTTAGGTTTAGGGTTTAGGGTTTAGCGTTTAGGGTTTAGGGCCCAATCAATTCAGGACCAAGTCACCGCGTCTGTCCCGCCACTGCCATCCGGATCTGTGAGGAAGATGCCGTAGGCGATGATACAGTTATCCTGTGTGAGGGCTCGGATTTAACCCTCACCCGTGGTCTCAGAAAATGACGCAACTTCCCCTCTAAAGACTCGCTTCGCCTTAGTGGTTTGTTGTATTTCCAACTCTTAGAGATATTCAAAGCTTCAGGGCTTCAGGGTTGTGGGCTTAGAGGTGTAGGAGTTTAGGGGCTTCGGGGGTGTAGGGCTTTCGGGGTTTATGTAGGGGTCTAGGGTTGAGGCTTGAGAAGTGCAAGAGGCCCCTCCGACAAGTTCAACGCGTGAGGCCTCCGCAGGGGCTTGCAGCGGTCTTCAGAGTTTCTGGCGTTCTGCTGGCTTGACCATTTTTGGGTTTCTAGAAGAGGCTTTGTCATCACGTATGCTGCCGAGATCCGTACAATCTTGTCATTTAGTAGAAAGCGATGGCCGGCACATGCAGAGCACAGACTCCCCCAACCACAAACACCTAAACCGCCAATCTTTTTCGCTGCATGAGCACAACACTACGATGCAAATCGCGCAAGAGCCGGGGCCGTGCGGCTTCTCGTGGTCGAATGGCACACACAGTAACCCACCCTGGCCCCTCAAACCTATAAACCCCATTCCCGAAACCCTGAAGACTATAAACCTTAGAGTTCTCGGCTGTTGGGATGGGGATTTAAGGCCTGGGGGTCATTGTCATCATAGCACCAACTGCGCAACCAAAGAGACGAAGTGCCCTGGCATTCTGAGCCCGAAACCCACCCCTACACCAAGCCCACAACCCCGCCCACAACCCCGTCTCTTGCGGCCAAGAGTCCCTGAGCCAGCTTCCGAACATGCTGGACCCTGTGTGGTCGCCTCAGGCAACCAGAAGAGAAGGAAGCAACGAGAACAAGAAGAACATAAATCAAAACCAGACGATGCATGATACTAGTCGCGATTCGCCGTAGCAGTAGACACACTGATCTGAGGATGATTGCAGTACGAGCAATATCATAAGCTCCAAGAAGCCCTTGGCGTTGGCCGCAGATGCGCTGAAGGGTCCAGTGAACCTTGAGGCAGGGGGGATGTGGTCCTTGGGTGGTGGGATCGCGGCTCAGGGCTTCGAGCCTATAACCCGGGTGATCTAGGGTTGAGGAGTTTTTTTATCCGGACCGTTTCCTCTCACAAAAAAAGCCAGACGACTGGATCGAGGATTAGGGTTCCGGGTTTAAGGCTCCGAGCCCAGACTGATTTCTCAGGTTTCTCCCACTCTGCGGAGCTCGCTTGCCACAAGAGGCTTTCCAAAGAAACTGACGTTGCTTAATTAAGGCATGTTCCCATGATCATACTTGAGTACTGAGGTTCCCAAATGAAAACTCAGTGATTGAGGGATTTTGGACTTTCGCAATGTTCCCGACAGCATATGGACTGCAGAAGACAAGGAAGCTCCTGAAGAAGCCACTGAATTCTCCCACTCCAAGCTACAAGAAGCAAACAACCACGCTCTGCCCCAAAAGCCCAATGCTCTACCATCCCCGTAAAACCCTAAACCCTAAACCCTAAAATCCTAAACCCTAAAATCCTAAACCCTAAACCCTAAACCCTAAAATCCCAAACGATCCCCGAGAATCCCGTTCAGTTACTTCTTGGGTTGTACTCTACTCAAATTGTATATCAAATTGTATACGATGTATACAGGAATCCCAAGGAGCCGTCACAAATACTATCACTAGTCAGACCCCGTAAAACCCTAAACCCTAAACCCTAAAATCCTAAACCCTAAAATCCTAAACCCTTAACCCTGGGCCCCAAACCATTAACCCTACGACCCAGTCCAACGCCGAGACACTTTCCCCGCGCATCTTTGCACTTTGCCCGGGAATAGTCGAGCGTTCCCTGGTTGCGGGGGTTTAGGGTTTCGGGCTTTCAATAGGCGTGTGGGTTAAGGGTTCAGGGTTTTGAGTTTCGGGTTTTGGGTTCAGGGTTCTCTATTTTCTAAACCCTAAACCCTGATTAAGGCTTTAGAGTTTTGGATTTCGGATTCATATAAACTCGAGGGTTTAGGGTTTCCACTTGGGGGCCTGATGGGCTCATGCTCGGGAGACTGGAATCTCGGGGGTTTCTTACGCAATCTTCTCTTCAAAAGCTCGTTGTAGGACTTTGGGGGTTTAGGGTTTAGGGTTTACCGTGCCGAGTTTCGGCCTGTGCTTTGGCGGTTGCTACAGTCCCCCCCCGCGTTCACGGCGGTGGACCACCCCTAAACCCTAAACCCTAGAAAGATAGGGCAAGGCTTTGGCCAGCGGCTCTACAGTCCCTCCGCAGCTCTCACTCCTTACCCGCCAAGAAACCCTCGAGTCGTAGTCTGGCACTGAGGCATCGAAACCCTGCATCCTGAGCACCAAGCAAACCCCTAGCCCCAAAAGCTCTTAAACGGATTTAGGGCTTAGGGTTTAAAACCTGCCTCCCGAAAACATCCTTTCTCAAACACAACAGCTGCACAGCCTGTAAGCCTAACCCTTCCCCGTGAACCAAAAACCCCCAATGCTCAGACCCAAAACCCTGAACCCTGAACCCCAAGCCCTTAACACCCAAATCCCTAACCCTAAACCCTATAACGAAACTCCCAAACCTCAACACCCTTGTAAGCAACCCTTACAGAACCCTGAACCCTATTGAAACTATTCAGGCCCTAGACTGAACCCTTACAGTAACCCTTGTAGGAAACCCTTACAGTGAGCCCTAGATTCGAATCCTCGCCTTTGAGGCAAGAAGTGCTTTGACTTCGATCAGCTCCTCCAGAGACAGAGGGTCCGTTCGGCAAAACTTCTCCAGCCTCGGTCGTTGGTGTTTAGGATTTAGGGTTTAGGGTTTAGGATTCAGGGTTTAGGGTTTAGGATTTAGGGCTTGGGGCTTAGGGTGCAAGGCTCAAGGTTCAGGGCTGGAGGCTCAACGTTTAGGCTCGGGGTTTTATTCTTCTTGTGAAGACATTTCGGGTTTAACCAGTAAGAAATTCGGGCTTTGGGTTTTGAGATGATTCTTTGGGTTGAGGGGTCATGCAGAACGGCCTTAGCCATTAGAGCGGTGGTGCGTGGGGATATACTGCAGCGTAAGTAAACAGGGACTATAAGGGACTCTGTTTTGGTCTCTGCTCATTTCTTTCGAAGACATGCGCGCTTTAGGCTCTAAGGGCCTGTAGGGTTTTGAGGTTTTACAAAATTCATGGTTTAGGTGCATGGCTTAGTTCAGCCTCTTTTTGCTCCTTGAACCCAGGAGCGGGATGGTTACTGATAAGGCTTAAGAAGTTATGTCAGCAAACACGAGCACGCAGGACTACTTGCAGGTTCATGGGTAGTTATAAGTTGGGTTTTAAGTAGGGTAACAATAGCTATAACCTATATGAGGGGACGTATACTTCCACTTAGAACTACCCAGCACCTCCAAGTATCCTGCGCACCTCACCCTTAATCCGAGACCAAAAGGAAGAGAGCAGGTGGCAATCCGAGGGGGTCCCTGTTTGAGTAGTCATAATTTAGGGGCCTTAATAATTAG